GATTAAAAGGATTAAAAAGGTATGAAAGGGATAAAAGGATTAAATCAGTTAATCCTTTTAATTACCTTTAATCCTTTTAAGCCTTTTAATCCTACAGAGCCCACCAGCAAGAACGCCCAATGTGAGGGACCAAGCATTTAATCCTTTTTAATCCTTTTGTCCCTCGAGGCTTGGAGGATAAAAAGGATTAAACGCGATGAAATGATTTAACCTTTTAATACTTCTTAATCTCAAAGCCTTTGGGGGATTAAAAGGATTAAAAGGATTAAATGATTTAATCCTTTTAATCCTTTTAATCCTCCAGAGCCTTTGGGGGATTAAACGGATTAAAAGGATTAAATGATTTAATCCTTTTAATCCTTTTAATCCTCCAGAGCCTTTGGGGGATTAAACGGATTAAAAGGATTAAATGATTTAATCCTTTTAATCCTCCGGAGCCTTTGGGGGATTAAATGGATTAAAAGGATTAAATGATTTAATCCTTTTAATCCTTTTAATCCTCCAGAGCTTTTGGGGGATTAAAAGGATTAAAAGGATTAAATCATTTAATCCTTTTAATCCCTTTAATCCTTTTAATTCTTTTAATCCTCCAGAGCCCCCAGAACCACAATGTGAGGACCAAGCATTTAATCCTTTTAATCCTTTTAGTCCTCCAGAGGCTTTGGAGGATTAAAAGGATTAAAAGGATTAAATGATTTAATCCTTTTAATCCTTTTAATCCTCCAGAGCCTTTGGGGGATTAAATGGATTAAAAGGATTAAATCATTTATCCTTTTAATCCTTTTAATCCTCCAGAGCCCCCAGAACCCCAATGTGAGGACCAAGCATTTAATCCTTTTAATCCTTTTAATCCTCCAGAGCCTTTGGGGGATTAAATGGATTAAAAGGGATTAAATGATTTAATCCTTTTAATCCTTTTAATCCTCCAGAGCCTTTGGGGGATTAAAAGGATTAAAAGGATTAAATCATTTAATCCTTTTAATCCCTTTAATCCTTTTAATCCTTTTAATCCTCCAGAGCCCCCAGAACCCCAATGTGAGGACCAAGCATTTAATCCTTTTAATCCTTTTAATCCTCCAGTGCCCCCAGAACCCCAATGTGAGGACCACGCATTTAATCCTTTTAATCCTTTTAATCCTCCGGAGCCTTTGGGGGATTAAAAGGATTAAAAGGATTAAATCATTTAATCCAATGCTTGGGCCTTAGACTCCAGATCTCTGGGGGATTAAAAGGATTAAAAGGATTAAAAAGGATTACATTTCGCGGCGGTTTCTTGGTTTTGCGCCCGCTTCTTGGCCTTTGCGCCTGTCTCTTGGCCTTTGCGCCTGTCTCTTGGCCTTTGCGCCTGATTCTTACATTTCGCGGCTGTTTCTTGGTTCTGCGCCTGTCTCTTGGCCTTTGCGCCTGTCTCTTGGCCTTTGCGCCTGTCTCTTGGCCTTTGCGCCTGCCTCTTGGCCTTTGCGCCTGTCTCTTGGCCTTTGCGCCTGTCTCTTGGCCTTTGCGCCTGTCTCTTGGCCTTTGCGCCTGTCTCTTGGCCTTTGCGCCTGTGGCCTTTGCGCCTGTCTCTTGGCCTTTGCGCCTGTCTCTTGGCCTTTGCGCCTGTCTCTTGGCCTTTGCGCCTGTCTCTTGGCCTTTGCGCCTGTCTCGTGGCCTTTGCGCCTTTCTCTTGGCCTTTGCGCCTTTCTCTTGGCCTTTGCGCCTGCTTCTTACTTTCGCGGCTCTTGGTTTTGCGCCTGCTCTTGGCCTTTGCGCCTGTCTCTTGGCCTTTGCGCCTGTCTCTTGGCCTTTGCGCCTGTCTCTTGGCCTTTGCGCCTGTCTCTTGGCCTTTGCGCCTGTCTCTTGGCCTTTGCGCCTGTCTCTTGGCCTTTGCGCCTGTCTCTTGGCCTTTGCGCCTGTCTCTTGGCCTTTGCGCCTGTCTCTTGGCCTTTGCGCCTGTCTCTTGGCCTTTGCGCCTGCTTCTTGGCCTTTGCGCCTGCTTCTTGGCTTTTGCCTTTGTATTTGCTTTGCTGGACTTACCTTTTAACATTTTTAAGCTTGTTTTTCAAGCTTCTGGTTGTACCTTTTTGTATATTCTTGTTCTTGGCTTGCGTTTTTCCCATTAACATATTATAATATATAGTTCTTTTTCTAAAACAGAAAACCTTTGAAATATGATGGCATAGTACATATGACATATTATTGATTTGGCAGGGACCATTCATGCTTCATTGTACAATCTAGACTGACGGATGCTGCGTGAGAAGCTAATAGACCGACAAACAAGAGAGGTATAACAGCTCTGTTAGGGCAGTTGTCGTTTTGGCTACAAGCTAGAACCTACTCACCCTAAAAAGTTGCGAAAAGGGAGCCTTATCTGTCACCGAATTATATCGGATGCGGGGCTGGTGTTGCTGCTGTTGCATGTCGGTAGCGGAGCTGGTAGGGGAGCTGGTAGCGGAGTATTCCTAGCTGGTTTCGCGGGAGGGAATCACATGCTTGATGGTGCCTTTGTTTGCTTTGGGCAACACGGCCGAACTGTCTGCTGGAGATGGTCTATGAGAAACCAAAAGGCCAACAAACAAGAGAGGTATAACAGCTCTGTTAGGGCAGTTGTCGTTTTGGCTACAAGCTGGAACCCGCCCAGCCTAAAAAGTTGCGAAAAGGGAGCCTTATCTGTCACCGAATTATATCGGATGTGGGGCTGGTGTTGCTGCTGTTGCATGTCGGTAGAGGAGGTGGTAGGGGAGGTGGTAGCGGAGTATTCCTAGCTGGTGTCGCGGGAGGGAATCACATGCTTGATTGCTTGATGGTGCCTTTGTTTGCTTTGGGCAACACGGCCGAACTGTCTGCTGGAGATGGTCTATGAGAAACCAAAAGGCCGACAAACAAGAGAGGTATAACAGCTCTGTTAGGGCAGTTGTCGTTTTGGCTACAAGCTAGAACCCACCCACCCTAAAAAGTTGCGAAAAGGGAGCCTTATCGGTCACCGAATTATATCGGATGTGGGGCTGGTGTTGCTGCTGTTGCATGTCAGTAGCGGAGCTGGTAGGGGAGCTGGTAGCGGAGTATTCAAGATTCTGCGCTGGTCACCCGCGTAGAAAAAAGATTGAGGGTGTACATATCTATGCTCAGGAATCATTGTGATACATTGCATGCCTCAGACTTCTTGGGTGAGATTCCCAACCCATGCGATGGGGGGATAAGCAAGAGGGCTTGGGAGTCGCAGGTGATGCTGTGCAGACAGAAGCTTCGGGAATTCAAACAGGGTCATGATGTTCAAGGCGGCAGCTCAGATGATAAGCAAGGCGGTGCAAGTTCTGACGACGATGACGAGGGCGGAGAGCCAGCAGAGCCCCGCTTCGTGATCGACGACGAGGGCCAAATCACTTTCCAAGACATCATCAAAGATTCCTTGGAGGAGGAAGTTCATGCTTTCATGGAAGAAATTGAGCACAACAACATTCGGAAGATGCACGGTGCATACTGTTGCCCTGTCTGCCCTTTCCGAGCTTTTGGTCGATTGTGCCAGCTCTCTGATCACCTGAGGCGCCATCATGTCGCCGCCAAGCAGTTTGTGTGCTCAGGAAAGAAGCAGTTAAAAGTGATTTTGGCCTTGCACGATTCAGATTCTGTCCGCAAAGAGAACGGTGCAGACTACTTGTTTCGCAGTGCCATGCTCCTTAGAACTCAAGTGGTTCCTCCTCTCGACCGCAACAAGAGTTTTATTGACAAGAACCTACGCCTGCTGCTAGAGAAAGACGGTCCAAGATATGTCAACCAAAAGGCCCTTGGAGAACAAATCGTTGCCCGCAGAGTGTTGAACATCTATTACGACAAATCCTTTGCCGAAATGGTCTACAGGGAAATTGTCTTGCACCATTCGAGTGTTCCTTGGCAGCAGCAGAACATGCACGTGCAATGTCATCGTTTTAACTTGTGTCAGAGCTGGATCATATTTTTTTACGGTGTCAACCATGCCTTGGAATGATGTTCATAGTTCTTTTCTGAGGTCAAGAGCATTTGGCCTCGTGTACATTTGCGGGCTTTGGAAGCCGGCAACATGCTTGGGAACTTGTACCCTTCCCATACACGTCATTGGTGGCCTCTTGTGGAGGACATCTACATGTCCTATCAAGTCCAAAGCTTGAAGAGCTCCATCTTCAAAACTTTGGAACACAGTCAGGAATTCTTGTGCTTGTCCATTGATGCTACACTCAAAGTCTGCATGACTGTGCAGGGACAAGCAAACTATAGAGCATCGGCCCAAACCCGAAATGTGGCTTGCTTTGATGATGAGCATTCTTTGAGAAGGGTGCTGACTATCAGGGGGCGTACCGGTGCCGTCTTAGGCATGGTTCCTGTTCCGAGTGAAGAGTCACCAAAGATCAAGGAATCTCTGCGCAATCTTTTCTCCAACCAGGCATTGTTCCAGGTTCGATATTTAGCTACGGACAACCCCTCTCCTAAGCTCTTCCGCGAGTTGAAAGAGATCTGCCCAAACCTGAGCTGGCTCTCCTTGGATCCTGTTCATCTGGCCATTGTCTACGAATATGCCCAGTGGGGGAAGAAGACGGCTGGATCGAAAGTTCTACGGTGTTTGCTACATAAGATGAACCAGGTAGCCCCGAACATGCGTTCCAGCTCTTGGGGGCCCCTCTTCACTGGCACCGCACCGCCAAGCCTGACTCGCGATGAAGAGCGGGCACGACATCTCATCACTGACGGCAGCATGGGCGCAACCAGGGCCAAACGCATCCTGGACAACCTTCATCCAGATTCGCCTTTGTTCTGCCGAATCACCTTCATTGAGGCATTAGCCGCCCTTTGTGCAACGTACCCACATGAGGTGAAAGTGACAGGCTCCAACAAAGAAATTAGGAAGGTTCTTTGGGCAGCCACAGCACCAGATAGATTGGAATGGCTGATGAACAACCTCCGTGTGCGGCACGATCTAACCCCTCTAGAGCGGGGGTTGCTGCCAAGCGGCACGTCCTCTAATGAGTCCCTTCATGCCGAGATAAATTCGTGGACTAAGTCCATCCGTTCACTGCACCAGAGCACACTGCGGCTGAAGCTTGAAATTATGCAGTTTGGCAAGGTGCTCGCCCATCATGTCGCCTCGTGTTTTCCTACGGTGGAGCAGACTTCAGAAGCTGTCCTGCTTGCGCGGGCAGTGGCCACTGATGTCTGGACCGATGCCACCTGGCAAAACTGTTGCTCGTCTGCCAAGGCACCTGTACCTTTGCATCGGGCGCGGCAAGCGGAAGCCAGAAAGGTACAGAAGTGGAAGCAAACAATCCCCATGAAGAGACGCGGAAAGAGGACAGTCCACTCTGTCAAACGTGTGCACTCGATTCGATCTTCCGGCGTCAAGCCGAAAAGGCTTCGACGATAGCGTGCAGCAGTGCATCGGATTGGCGATCTTCCGGCGTCAAGCCGAAAAGGCTTCGACGATAGCGTGCAGCAGTGCATCGGACTGGAGAAAAGAAAGTCCAAGCCTCTGTTCATGCATATGTGACATGTGTGTTGCAGATGTGTTTGCAAGTCCGAAGCGATGCAAGTCTTGTGCCACCTTCCTTGTTTAGTTTTTGCAACAGTCTCACCAAGTGCCCTGGTAGGCTTGCAAGGGTTCACTGCAATCGAGGAGGCACGATTGGGGCCTGTGGTTGGTGTTGCCTGGCTTGTTCCAATATGGACCGCGTTGTCGGGTTAACGAAGCGTTGACAAGGAGCTTCGCGTGCCCAACCATCAGCAATCGCCCAACAGCACAAGCCAGCACGTCCGTTTTCCCACCCAGCCCTCCCATCCATGATTGCTGCCACCACGGACATGGAGGCTGAAACAACCCATCCCATATCCATGAATGAAGAAACGAAAATGTCATACTCACGCAGAGCGCTGCAGTAGGTTGTGGGTAAACATGTTCCGTTGAAAAAGTCGATATTTTGTCTGCCCAACCTTTGGCAGAGCTTTTTCAGCAAGCGTGCAGCAGTTTTCCGCCCAGCCTTCCCGTCCATAGTCGCCACCATGGACATAGGCTGAAACAGATCTATCCCATATCCACGGATGAAGAAACCAAAACGTCATGCTCACGCAGAGCGCTGCTGGAGGTTGTGTTTAAACATGTTCCGTCGAAAAAACTAGAAAGTGCCCAGCCTTTGGCGGAACTTTTTCAGCAAACTTGAAGCAGTTTTCCCGCCCAGCCTTCCCGCCCATTGAAGTCACCACCGTGGAAATGGAGGCTGCAACAGATCCATCCCATACCCATGGATGAAGAAACCAAAACGTTATATCCACGCAGAGCGCTGCAGGAGGTTGTGGATGAACATGTTCAGTTTCAAAAGATTCTGCGTGCCCAGCCCTTCATCTGAGCTTTGCAGCAAGGGCGCAGCAACGAGCAAGCCAGTACATGTGTTTAACAGTCCCACCCTCCCATCCCAGTTACTGTCTCCGATCAACGTCCAGCGCTTCGGAAAGTCTCGCGCGATTATACACATGTTTGCTGTAGCGCTCATTAGATTGAAGAAGATGCCTTTCTAGGCCAACGAACGAAATAGACCCCAAAGGTCCCTGCCACATATATCCAATTCATATCACTGAATTAGCCAATTACATACTTTGTCAATATCCCAAAAACATCCCAACACAAAGAATATGGTGTTAGCAAGTTCCCAAGTGTCCCAAATGTTACCCTCTGGTAATTTAACATAGCTATTGAAAATGGCCATTTTATAGTGGATTTACCCATTAAAAATTGTGATTTTCCATAGTTATGTTAGTTTACCAGAGGGTATGTCCCATATGTCCAACATGTTATATCCATTTATATCCCAAGTAGCCACCATAGTCCCACTGAAAATTTTAGCTGCCGAGGTCCTACACACAGAGCTGCCAAAGACTGGGGACCAACAGCCAGTCCTCAAGGTGCCGAACTCGCGTTTTGGAGGTTGAGTTTGCCATGGAAAATGGCCCACTTATAGTTGGTTTACCTATTAAAAATGGTGATTTTCCATGGCTATGTTAAATAACCAGATGGTATCATTATCTATAAATAGTGGAATTTCAAGATCCATGTTTGATTAGCGCAGGGTATCGTAGGCAGATAGAGGTATAAAGAATTGATATTGGTTGGCGGTTTCGATCATGACCTTGCGACTGTCCATCCAACAAATGGCATGATGATCTGCATCTCAGAGGGGTTGAAACTGACAAATGTCCGGGTTGATGTGGTAAAACCAGTAGTAAACCATCCCCAATGACTTACTATTCGGAATAGGTTAAAGCATGCCGCAACTGCAGGTTCATAAAATTGGTTTTACCACGTGGCTATGTCCCGTAGCCCCTTAAAAATGTCGGGTGATCACAAGATTTTGGAGGGCCAGATGAATCCATATGGCTGCCACAATGCCCCCAATTGTCCCAATTTCCAGGGACCCTCCCGGAATAGATCCAACAGTCCAACACTAAACCTTGGCTTTCAGGGTGGTATTCCATGACGGTACAGGTCGTATGGAATTGCTCCCTACCTGCTCCACAACTCGTTGCGCATTTTGTTGCATAGGCCGAGGCAGATCGTGTGGTGGAATTTGCCAAGCGTTATGTGGCTGAGGTGCCGCCTGGGAAGGAATGGGACGCATCCCTTCCACTCTTAGCAACCTCTTCTGGTCAAGATAGATTTAAACGATTTTAAACGCCCAAGTTCTGATAGTTTCTAGTGTGCGTGGTGCAAATCCAATCCTAAATAGTGGGAAATCAATGAAAATCAAAGATGTTCTGTATTTCCTGGGCTTATTATATTGAAAACGAATTGATTTGCCATGTCAATGGTTGGGTTTTAGGGCAAATGTACGGGAAATTGTGCTTTTAACTGCCATATACAGGGTGGTCCTGCAAATTGTATTCTTCCTTTGTGGCAATCAGCAGGGTTGACTGGTGACCCAACGCCTAGACACCTTCATGGAATGATTATTGTATTTATTTTGCTGGAAAATTGTGGTTGTATTTATTTTGCTCTCGCAGAGCTGCAAAAAGAGGAGAATCTGAATATATGCCTATATATATATATACATGTGTATCAACATATATGTACAATTATGTACATATATGTATATTATATATATATGGAAGTATTTGATGATGATGCAGCTTGTTGACTGGCAACTTAGGAACCATAAAGTTTACCAGAAACTCACCGCAGAGGTCTCCGAAAATCAGTGAGCCAGCGATTTCACCATGCGAAGATGGTGGTGGCCGCTGCTGCGATTTCACCAAAAAAAACAGGTTGGTGAAAGGTGACTCAGAGATAGCCTTTGTTCGGAAAAACCCTCTGGGCTATAGAAAAACACCATATTTTTTAACAAGTCAATCAGGGTTTTGATCATCTATTCTTTCGGGTGATTTCCATAGCTGTTGTTAGATAACCAGAGGGAAAGCTGGTACCGAGATGGAGGAACACGTGGTCCCTGCTTGAAAAAATACTTCACAAGATGATCCCTTACTGTATTGACTGACAGTGTTGAGGACGGGTTGGAATCATCATATGTTTTTAATCCACGGCGAAGTGAAAGTGGGACCTAAACCATGGGGTTAGCAAGTGGCTCACCTGAAACAAAATAGGTCCCATTCAAGTGATGTATCCCACCATTTCTTCCCATCAGATCTTTTCTTTTCCCTCAATCAAACACGGCAAAGCAACATCGTGCTTCCCATCCTTCAATATCCTTCATATAGTTCGATGGTTTCCACATTATTCCACATTATCAAATGATTGGTTTAAGGGAAAATCTACAGGAAACCATGGTTTTTACCATCAAATATAGGGCTTTCCTGTAAATTTTCCCATAATCCAATTCTATGACATTAACACCTCCATTCAGGGCTATGCTCCCTTGAGATACACCTGGTTCCAGCGACCTGTGACCTGGTGATTTTTTCGTGGCGAAGAGAAAGGCGCTTTGGAAGTGGAACTCCCGCCCTCCATTGCTTGGATTGATATGGGCGACTTGGTGTGGCTGTGATCACCAAGCAGTAATCCGAGAGAAAAAGATCCTTGGAGGACTGTTGAATTGATTTGCAATGAGTTTAAGTGATTCTATATTATTCTAGGTGATTCTCTCTATTTACAATAAAACACTGTTCTAGAATCATACAAGTATTGATCTAATATTATTGATCCAATATTCACAGCTTGCATATTTCTAGATTCATTTCTTCAACGGGATGATGGCCAGAACTGGACGCTGGCTCAGCCAACAGTTTTTCTCTTGGATGTTTTGGAAAAGCGTCATATATATATATATATAATGTGTAATTGTATGTATACAACTATATATATATATTAATATTATTACTATCATTATTTTTATTATCATTATTACTATGTGTACTGTATATGTATATGTATATTAATTATATATGTATAGTTATATTTACATTGATGTATATATATACATATGCATATACATATTCATATTCATATATGCATATGATAGTCTATTTTGGCCATGATGTCTCTCAAGGGTTTGAAATGAATAAAACCAGAGGATCAATGACATTTCTTTGGTCAATCCATTGCCCACATCGCGATGTGGGCCCGGGGGTACGATATGAGGAGCCCATGCGGCAAGAGGGTGCACCCAAGCGTCACGTGACAACCCCGCGGAGTTTCGAATGATTACCGCCCTGGTAAACTAAGAGTGTTTCTATGCAAGCCATGGCCTATTCATAGATGGTAAATTTTGGTAAATAAATTTACCATGATTTACCTATGAAAATGGTGATGTTGCAGTTCGCAAATTCGCAAACGGTGAGGTTCTGGGGGTGATATAACATGATTTAACATGACTGGTTGGTGGTTTGGCACATTTTTCCCATTTATTGGGAATAATCATCCCAACTGACTATATATACAATATTTTTCAGAGGGGTTGAAGCCACCAACCAGATGATATAACTACAATTTTCCAAGGGGCTAGAAACCAACTAACTAACATAACGAACATCACTGGGGGTCACCATGGGGCACCACAGATCCACATGGCCGTTGTCGCTGCGGGAGCCTGGCGTGGCGCTCGCGCAGTCGGCGCCCCGGAGTTTTGTGGCGACGTTGGACGACGCGACGAGGCGGCAGAAAAGCAGGACGGCCGCGATGGAATAGCTGCGCCATGGGGGAAGTGATGAGAGTTGACAAATGAATCGAAATGGGTACTCTCTGGTAAACATACAAAAAACTATGGAAAATCACAATTTTTTTTAATGGGAAAACCTCACTATCAATGGCCATGTTTAATAGCTGTCAGCCATTCCCAGAGGGTAAAGTAACTGAATGATCCCGGAGTCTCGGTTTCACGGTTTCACGAAAAACTTTAAAATACCACGTGGCTTTAGCCTTTTTGAATACCCCAGGGTCAACTAACATAGATGTGGGAAATCTTCTATGTTTTCCTGGGGAAATCATCTAGAATTTGTTAATGTTTCATCAAATTTTCCACATCTATCATCTACAAAAAGGTTTACCCTAGGGTAATTACCATGAGAGAGGGTTCCAGCTATGAAATGTGAGGTTGCAGTCTAGACAATGGTTTGGCTCAAATGTGCGCCCGCGAAACCCAATGACCCTGACCAAGAAATTCGCAAGGCAGTGACCTGCAAAGGTATCCCTAGAGATTGGATGGTTGGTTGATAGAGGGGTCAACCCATGTCATCGCCACCACCCCCAATAGGTATGTGATAATGATATGCCAAACCAGCCCATCTAGATAATCACCCGAAAGGACGTTGGTCGGATCAACAAAAAAAATAAGCTTCTCGGCCTTCAAAAAAAACAACATTCAGATACGCAGTTGGAGAAGCGTCCAGATGCTTAATGTTACCATTGCAAGCCTTAGCCTCAGTGGGGAAATGATGCCAATTGGTTGTGTGAGGATGTTTTAACCTAAATGTGTTGAGCTTTGAAGTTGAACTTTAGCAAACATTGTGATGTTTGAAAGTAACAATTGCTCTTGGTCTTTCAATAAGCCATCAATCCCAGAATTGGCTGCAGGGAAAGCTCACTGGAAAAACCCCGAAACAACGGCAATGTGGCACACACGACAATAAGCCATCCCCCATTTCACGAGAAGTGGAGTGGTATAAAATGTATGATTGGCTTTACCACATTATCACCCTCTGGTAAACAACCATAGCTATGGAAAATCACCATTTTCAAATATGTTGAATAGGTAGATCAACTTATGGTGCAATTTTCAATAGCTATTTTGACATAACCAGAGGGTAATAATTGTGAATGATTATAAAAAAGTGGCAAAAGTGGGTAAAACCATGCCATTTTTACCACCGTTTTGACTGGGAATGGTAACCATAGCACATAAAAATCCGTATCGATCCATAGCTTCCCCGGAAGCCATGCTGGAACAGCGGCTGCCTCCACCACCGACCTGGCCGCAGTTGCATAGCAAGTTCGGAGCATTGAAGCTGCTCGGTGATTTCCATAGAAAACCTGGTGATTTCCATGGAAGTTGAGATCATTTATGGAATTTATACTGGTTTATCATGGAATTCCTAAGAAATTTGTAGCTTATTTTTGATGGATGTCCATATTTTATATTGGTTTATAATGGAATTCATTGAGGATGGAATGGAATATGACCCAAGAAAAAGGTGCTTGGCAGATCAAGCATTGGATTTGGGGGGTGCCCCTCTTTTCAGACAAAATAATTTGGATCCAGAAATGCTGGATAATGGTGGTTTCTTGCACTTGGGAATCCAAAAATCAACGAGTGTCCGATTTGGAAAGAAGAGGTGTATATACAATTATATATATATATATATGTGTGTGTGTGTGTATATATATATATGTATATACATATATATGTATATATATATATATACATATATACATTATAAGCACTCATTGGATTTGGATAAATCCGCGGAACTTTGTGGATTGAAAATTGTGATTCATCCCCAAAAGCAAGGACATGAGACCAGCATAACCAGCAAACATTGGCATGTTTCCCAACATGCTACCACGTGGACAATTTGAATCACGAACATGTTAATTCTAACAGTCAAGAGTCTTACGTTTCAATAGCCAAGAGATTTGAACCGTTACTGGGGATCCATACAATGTTGGTGGTGCTAAGTCAAGTTACGTGTTTTTCAGCAGAAATGAGGCAGTTCAAAAAATGGCTGGTGAACATCTCAGGCGTCCTTCATGTTGATTCGTTGAAACCCCAAGTTTGGCTGCTGACTCGTGGCTTACGGCCTCAATGCTGAACATTGGTAAAATCGTCAATGTTGGGTAGGTCGGTTTTTTTGCCTATACGTTTTTAGGAGGAAGCGGTTTGGAACTTTGGGTACGCATATTCATCCCTATTAAATTGGGAGCCAAGGAGCTACCAGGAGTTGCCCAACCATGTGAGAATTGTATTTCCATGTCTTGCTGTTTTCCCCTGGTTTGCTATTCTTGTTTGAGTATTTTTGTCTAGAGAGCTCTGGGGAATATTCAAATATACGCAGTTGTGAATGATAGATGGCAACTTAAGGGATGATCAAGGTATCAACAAATTGCATGGTTTTCCATGCCAAGAATTCCTGGCGCTGACATGTTTCAACTGAACTGATGCAATGCAAAGTGCCTTTGGGAACAGCAGAGGCCGGAGGCATTGCAGGAGATACATTATGAGTTATAGAACCTTATATGGAGGTTTCCTAGAATGGTGGTACCCCCAAATCATCCATTTTAGTAAACCATTCATATACCATTCATTATATAATAGGTGTACCTCCATGACTCAGGAAACCCTCATAGTGGTGGATCTGCCACGGGTTGTGTGACTCAAATCACCAAAAATCTGCTGCGGACGCAAAGGAACGGAGTACCAAAGTATGTCCCGCAAGATGCTTTGATCGAGGCTGGGCAGCGTCCCATTGAAAATCCCTAGGCCCTAGGCCCTTCCCACTATTCGCCCTAGTATTTTCCATATATCCCGAACCCTAAAATGAACAAATTCAGTACTAAGCTAGGGGGTTCTGGGGGAGGTATTCAATCTATTCCAAGATGTCAACCAGAACCTGCAGTCATTGGTTGACCCCTGCATGGATGTCCAGCGTATATAAGAATGAGCAGACAATTTGCACATCCGCATGAACAACTATAATTAGCTCAGAGTTCAATAGATGTGATTTCATTACATTAAACTACATTCGATAGACGGATATAATATATATATAATATGATAAAGAATATATATATATACATATGTGATTATATATGGATGTCATCCCTCTCTTTGCCTATATGTTTTGGTAGATATCTATGCC